TTTCTCTTTGTATATAGAGCATAGTTCATAAATAATAGAATCATAGAATCAACAAGGTTGGAAAAGACCTTCAGCCCCAACTGGATTTAACTCCATTATATATATGCATAAAAATTACCTAAAAGAGGTAATTTGTCATCCAGCACATGTGAGAGGGGACATAGAGACAGAAGAGTGAATGGAAATGTGGAAATGAGGGAGGAATACAAGCTCTCAGAAAGGGATCATTCCTTGCTGCTGACAAAACCACAGTTAGGAGATTCCTGGCCTTCCTTCAGTAGGACTTCTCTAAGTGCTAAGCCAACTGTTCATGTTGCCATTCCCCAGCTGAAGGACAAGATGTGCAGGTCTTGGGTGTTTGCTTTTATAGATATATATATATATATTTTATTTTTTTTTCCCTGATAAATACTGGGTTTATTCAAAATTACTGACCATATCATTAAGATACATAAATCAAGCAATAGCCAACATAGAAATAAATAGCTTAAAAGAGTATCAATGGAAAGCTATACTCAGCAGATGAGTTTTTAAAGAAGATGAAGACTATTAGTCTGTTTCTAGATGTATCCATAATTGCATAGGAAATTCACAACTGTTGCATTAACATTTTTGGGTTAATGAAAGAAAAGATGTAACCCAACCAGATGATGATGATAAAGTGATTTCCATTTTAACTAAGTGAAAGACTAGGACACATTACAACAACTAAAACCGGAAGCCCTTGACTTCATCTTTTGACCTTCAAGTAGCATAAATTAAGATTTTAAGTAGATAGATAGGATGGATTCCTGACACTGTAGAAATAATTATGAGAGTTAATGCAGGCTTCACTTTTACATAAATTGCTTTCAGTGGTGCTAAATGGAAACAGAAGGATTTGTTAAGCAGGAATAGGATTTCTCAGAAATGTGAAGTGAACCAGCAATTTCCAAGAACAGAGCAGTCAAACAAATAAATAAATAAATAGATAGATAAATAAATTTCCCTGTATCACATGTTACAAAGCAGGTTATCAATTTGTCTTATTAGAATTTTTAATATTCTTAAGAGAATATTCACCAGGAATTCTGAGTTTTTCTGTTGCCATGAACTTACATGTGAACAAAAGGTACTTAAATATATGCTTTAAGACCATTGTTAAGAACATGGCTATGCTCCTTATCTTTCCCTCTCATAGGTGAGTTGCACCATCGTGAACAGGATGCAAAATTTTTCCTGCAGCAAAGGAACTACAGGAACAAAGAGGGAAATTAAAAGAAGGTATGGAGGCGAGACCTCCTGCAACAGTCCAGTTTGTCACTTTTTGCTCAGGAGGTGCAAGAGTATCTATAGCAAGTCTTTCACATATACAAGTTCTTAGAGGATCATTCCTGTGCTCACTCGAGGGCTCCCAAAAGAGATTGCGAATGGAAAGAGCCAGGAACAGCTGAAACTTTTAATGGGCTAGAGTAACACCTCTCCTAGCTCTCTCTAGCCCCAGGTGGTAACATTAGTACACATATCTGGGTATTTCCTCCATTGGTTGAGAAAAGGCTTGACATCTTATGAAATTTCCCACAGGCTTGCATTTCTCAACAGCTGGATCAGAAGACCTGCTGGAAAGCACCATGGCACACTTCCCTGTTTTTCCTTTGTTTTGAGATCAGAACAGGGAGGGGCAGTGTGACTCCAGTTCTTAATTCGATTCTTCTTGCACTGTCACACCATGGTGGTATCAAGTGCCCAGATTCAAGTTGGGAACATTTTCTCATTCTTTTTGATAAAGATACAGGCTAAGCAAATTTTTCAAAGAAAAAACTGTAGGATAAGCAATTGAAATTATCATTAAGAAAGCATTAAAACATTTCTAATATGAAATACAAATTTTTGTAATCTTTCAAGTCATCAGTGTGTGCAGAAACATGTTTTGCAGAGCTCAGAGACAAGCTATAAATGAAATTGTTATTACTTGATATACAAGTCTGAAGAAAAATTATAGTAATGTCTTCCAAAGATGTAATATTATCTTTGTAGCATCTGACTGTATTTATGACTTATTTTACTGCTATACATTGAAATTCATATACAGCAGTGTAATGTAATTTAAGTTGATGAGTTTTTGTCATCTTTACGAATTAATAGTTTAGCTTTTTGAGAATTCTAGAAAGAGAAAATGAAGAGAAACCTCAAAAAGAAATAGTACATAATCCAATTTATAGTTTGGGGTTTTTTGGGGTTTTTTTTTTGTGTTTTTTTTTTTTTTTTGTTATGCAAAGCACAGAGACTTTTCTTGTCTGTTGCCTTCTGGATTTGACAGGTTTAAAACTGATAATTCTGTGGTGTTCATCACTCCTTTGAGTGTAAGGGAACACATTAAGTCCTAATAAATTCTTTTTTTTTTTTTTTCCTATATAATTTATATGATAAAGTAGTTTATGATCACATAACTGTGAAGAATAAAAGTAAAATGTTACACTGTAGAAGAAATTTATGCATATCTGCTATATCATAATGGAGTACAATACTATTTTTTTCCCCTTTAAAAGTCTGTACCATTTAGTAACAGGTGCTTACATAAGTGTTTGCAACTTTTAGTGTTTTATGACTTTAAATTTATTATAGAAAATTGTTCCCTTCTGTCTTTCACTAGCCCTCCACCTTTCCACATCCATGTTCGTCCATCTGTGTGAGGCGAGTTACATTTGGCTTAGCAATTAAAACAGATACATGTCCTTCAAGTTCCTCTTGCCTTGACCATCCTGTTTAGAGGCTGAGGAAGCTCCTGGGAGCACATAGAGGTTATTGAGTGCTGTGTGCCTGCAGGAGTTCTGTAAACCCGGTGCTTTACTTGTTGTCCAGCAGTCCTTAACAAGGCAGGAAAAATTAAGGCAGAGATCCTGAGCTCTACTCATCACTTACTGTTGGAAGCTAGTTCCCACATGAAATAAGTTAACAAAGTTGCATTCTAATTGAGCCACGTCTCTTCCATCCTTCATATCTGCTTTTATGTCTGGGAAATGCATTGCAACTAATTGTGTAATTTTCAGCATGTGCAATGAAAAGTCTTTCTGTTTGTTTATTTGAAGTAGAGTTACACTATTTATTATTTGCTAATAATTAGATAGCATGTCTTGAAAAGTGTCTATGAGGTTACTTGTAACAAATCACTGTTTAGCCTGGAGAAGAAAAGGCTCTCGGGAGACCTTGTAGTGGCCTTCAAGTACCTGAAGGGGGCCTACAGGAAAGCTGGGGAGAGGCTTTTCACCAGAGAGGGTAGTGATAGGACAAGGGGTGATGGCTTTAAACTGAAAGAGGGGAAATTTATTTTAGACATCAGGAAGAAATTCTTCACCATGGGGTAGCAAGATGCTGGAATAGGTTGCTGATGGAGGTTATGGAAGCCCCCTCTCTGGAGATGTTCAAGGCCGGGTTGGATGAGGCTTTGTGCAGCTTGGTCTAGTGTGAGGTGTTCCTGCTCATAGCAGGGAAGTTGGAACCTGATGATTTTTGAGGTCCCTTCCAGCCTTAACCATTCTATTTATTTATGATATGTTTTCCTCTCTACATGGTTAGTACCTTTTCAAGAGTTAGTAATTTTGTATTTTTAATTAATCTCTGAGGAGAAATCAATGCACATGTATTTACAAAGCTGTTGCTCCCAGTGTCCACAGATGTTTAAAGGACAAAACACTGACAGATTACAAATTTGTTCATACATTATCACTGTAATGTGAGACGGTGACATTGAAGTGCAGCAGGCAAACAGAAGAATGTCTTCTCAGTATAGTCCCAGGCTTTTTTTTTCATATGACATGGACTTCCATACTTTGTCTAAAGAAAGATCTTGCATACAGTGTATTGTCAGGTATAAACATTTTTTAAAACTTGGATGCAAAAAGATTGATATCTTGAACTGATAAATGCCTGTGTTTAGAGATAAAAAAGAAACATAATGAAATCAGATGTAGAATGTTAAAAAAAATGGTGCATAAACTTTTTTGATCTTAAAAAATGTGAATGGCTTATTTGCAAATGGAATGAGTATTAAATCTAGTAGTTAACCTAGGTATCTTGTGTTCACTGAGTCAATGAGAACTTAACTACGGATTTCATCAGGATCGATTTCACGTTGAGGACTTCAGAGCCCTCTTTCTCCTTGCAAATGAAGATTTTTAGCCATTGAAATCAGTGGCTGAATTCCTATATAGAACGCGGGATTGCATATTGGTTGCATACTTAAAATACAATTTTCCTGAACTTAATTTTTTAATTTTTCCACTTAGTATAATTGCCTATTCATGTAAAATATTCTTCAGCTTTGGACATAGATGATTAATGCGGGCAATTCCCACAGAATCAAAATTTCATAATGTATTGATTTGCTCTGTATTCCCTCTGCATGAGAAATGTCCCTGAAGGAAACAGCAGACAGTACACGGTTCTCAATGTGAAGCATAATTTACTAGAAAATAAAGGAAGAATGCCTCAGAATAAGCACTTTTCAATATGGAGACAGATGGCCACATCACATGGCATGCATTCAGCTTTTTTCCCTGGCATGTTTAAATAATGTTTATAAAACAATAGACAGGGATAAAAATCAAAGTAGCCTTAAATTTATCTAAAACAGAATGGCAAACTGCTGTAGAAATGTCCTATAAATAACAATAAACAGCTGTTAAATGAATGTCAATGAGGTGGAAAGAGAGTTTTTCTACTGCATTGTAAAAGTATACATATATTTCTTTTTCTTATAATAAAATGTTCTGTCCTCTTTTCCAGCCCAGAACACAACATACTGTTTATATACCTGGCAAAGTGTGCAATGATTAGAGGCAAAACCAGATGGCCACGTTTTTCCTTGTCTCATTATTTTAGGTGACAGATAGATGACTTCTAACTTTACCTGTCAATCTGACTGTAATTATTTATGTTCTACTGTGAATTTTTGCATGCAAATACTCATGCACATGCACATACAAAGAGAAACAAACTGGCTCTTTCTCTTTCTTCCTTAGGTTTAGAAAGAATTGCAAGAGATTCAGCCTATGAGCAAGAAGGAAAAGTTCAGTTTGTAATTGATGCAGTATATTCCATGGCCTATGCACTACACAACATGCATAAAGATCTCTGTCCTGGATATATTGGTCTATGCCCACGGATGAGCACAATAGATGGTAAAGAACTACTGAGCTATATCCGGGCAGTAAACTTCAATGGTAAGTTACATGTGCTGTTTCTTTCCCCCCTTTTTAGTCTTTCTGTGTTTCAGAAGTGACAAGATGTGTTTTCTTCTTTATATAGGCTGCTTTAAGGCAAAGTGGAAAACAGGATTAGAAGCAGTTCTCATTTAATAAGAACTGTGAGTTTTTCCACCTGCTTTGAAACCCTAAGTGTATTTTTCATCTTAATATTAAGCTGCTCCCTTTTGGCAGCATGTTAAAAATAAGAATATACTGATCAAAATATTCCAGAGAAAAGCTGCTGTTACAGAAATAAGTTAAGGAATCATGCAGTCCTATTGACAGATTACAATCCTTTAACAGATATTGCTTATGGGTTTGCAAGAGAAAAAATTGAAATAAATAACCATTTGAAAGTTGCCTTCTTCTGAAATTACTATTAACAATTTTCTTACGTAAGTGAATACTGAAGAGTTTGCTTTCAGTTTGCATATTTAAATCTCAATTAAAACACTCACTAGCAGTTCTGTCTTCTTTTCCGTGTCATTGGTTTTGATTCAGTAATTTAAACCAACTACTATGTATTTTTAAACAACACTACATAATATTCTGTGCAGCTGGGATCTGCCTGCTGGGAAAATGTAGTCACAGAAGCTTATGCTGTTAATGATAGAGGCCAATGAAGAGCATGATTAATTTCTGAATGTAGAATTGAAAAAGGTAGAACATACTTGATAGTAAAATTAAGTTGCTGAAAACCTACATTATTTTATTAAGGTGATAGTTATTATAGACTGTATTTACCATTATTTTAGAGAGAAATGTAACTGTGTTCTCTGCTGTGTTTTCCTTGTTTTTTTTCCCTACTTGATGGTAATTAACATGCCTTCTAACTACACAGAGAGGAGCACTGTCTATCACAAATTATTCCAATGACCACAGCTTCCAGCCTTTTTGAAAAAAACACAAGGTCATCTTGAATTTAGCTTCTGAGTGGAAGCTCTTTTTGCTTTAGGTAATAAACCACACCATTTGGTTGACATTAATGTTGACTGTAGTTCACAGTTTTTTCCTCTTCTAAAACTTTTTTATTCCTATGCAATTTTCATGAAAAGGGAATCCCTGTCTCCAGGAATATAAAGATAGAAGGAGTTTAAATTATTCTTTAGTGATCTTGAAGAAAACCCAAAGCAAAATATGTTGCTGGCAAATGGGAAATACGATGACAAAGGTAGGCAGCATATCCTGAGGTTTGCAGTTCAATTATCGACATTTCCAGTAGATATTCTTCTGCATCTATGTTGTTAAAACACAAAGAAAGTGATCTGTTTTCATTTGGTGAGCATGAAAGTTTGGCATAAAAAGATAAGCTGTACATTTTCTATGAAACCTTTCTCTCCCTGGATTGTTGTATTTCATCAATACTTGTCATGGTTTCTCTGGCTGACTCTAAGTATCGCAACAAGGAGAGATGGAAGAGAGGAATAAAGCATTCTGGACACTAATGAAAAAGTATCTGTTTTGGTAGTAGTGATTTACTGAAAGAGAGGAGAAAAAAAAAAACCAAAACCGAAAAAAACCAACAACCATTTCTGTGAGGTTAACTTTCTTTCCTGTAACTGTTCCCTCTACTAGGCTAATCTATATTATGCACTGTTGTACAGATTTTTTAGGTGTGTTATATGGCCAAATATTTCTTTTTTTAATTTATTTTGTTTGTGTGTTGGGAAGCATAAGCAGAGGACAGTCTTTAACCCTTTGCCTTTTCCTTTTAATCCCAAATTTCTGTTCCTCAGGATAGCACTGCCACTGTGACTTGATTTACAGAGGTGAATGTTTAGATAGATTGCTAGACCTCCTGTGCTGGGAGTTGGCAGAAGTTTTGTGTGTTGGATCTGATGCAGATCCTATGTTCAATCGCTAATAATGAAGTACATTAAAAGTGAATTGATTCACAAACGGAAAACCCTGGCTTTTGCAGCCATTCAAGATAACAATTTTCTATCCTATCATCACAGGATCACAACATTGCTGATGTTGGCAGGGACCTCTGCAGATCTTTTACTCCAACTCCCTGCTTACATCAGGGTCAGCCAAATCAAGTTACTTAGTACCATACCTAGCCAGATTTTAAATATATACAAGGATGGAAAATCTTCCAAAATTCTCTCTGAGCAATCAGTTCCAGTATTTGACCATCTTCACAGTAAAAAAGTTTTGTCATATGTTTAAACAACTTTTCATGCATTTTAGAATTAAGTGTCTGCTCTTAATAATCTTAATAATAATGCTTGTAATTTCTAATAACAAGAAGAAACAGACTTTTTTTTGGTGACAGACTGGTTTGTTGATTTTTTAAAATTGTAATTCAAGCATTGGCTTCCATACATGATTTTACCGACTTTTCACTTCTAGTTCAGTATATCCCACTTAACCAAGGTAGTAATGGGTGGGTGCAAGTCCAATTAATCTGCTGTCATGTCCAACTTTGTGGGTTTCATCTGTATTATGAAGGACACCTGTCTACTGTATGGAGGATATTTGCAAGGGGAAGAAAACGTATATGGTTCTGTTTATTGGGGTAACTGGTTAGCTTTTGATTGCAAGTAATCACTTTGAAATGTGTTTGGTTTTGTTTACTCTTGACTTTTATTTACAAATAATGAAGATTCATTCCCTGAAGGATTCATCTGTGTAATGTGCCATGACACCTTCTTGTCTGAAGGGTAACATAACTACCAGAGCACAGGGTACTGATGAAATTGATATGACATTTGTTTCTTCTTTGATATTCTTCTGCCAGTTGTGTGCTAAATGTAGAAAATCTCATACTTCAGCATGATTTTTAAGGGAATAGAACTTCTTAATTTGTAATAGGATTAAATAAGTTTATTTATATATGAGATTTGAGTTACTGCCAAGTGTAGTTTCCTGTTTCGCTATGGCCTGTGTTTTTCTTGGCATGGCTAGAAAAGTATGGTGTCTAAAACCAATTGCCTATCTGTAGTTATATATTTGCATGGATATTTACATTAACACACTGTAGTAGTCCCAGTGATAAATAGCTGGAAAGCATCACTCTAACACAAGATATATTCACATGTATTGCAATATGAGTCTTTCACTGAATCGAAAGGTAAGGACAGAACTTGGCCTGGACTCTTATATATGTAAACAGGTATCTTATTTGCTTTGATGGGCAAACAGGGATAATTGCTAATTTGACATCTTTTTAGTTGAGCAGGGATAGGTGAAAGGAGCAGAGAACAGGTGGAAGTACTGACCGTCCTCTGCCTTCAATACTTTGATAAATGTTGTCTGCTTCTGCAGGAGGTTCCTACAACATGAATTTTCCCTCCTGATGAAGAGAAGACTCAGGAAATAAATTCTGAGTCTGATTGTGCAATCTTTTCTCTGGTCTTTGAGACAAAGTAAGGTAACTCCGTTGCTTGTTGGGGTTTTGTGACAAATCTGTAACACTGAGAATGTTGTGGAGTCTCTGTCCTTGGAGGTATTAAAAACCCAGCTGGATGTGGGGAACCCTGCTCTAGCTGAGCCTACTCTAAGCAGAGGGGTTGGACTAGGTGATCTCCAGAGGTCACTTCCCAACTCAGCCATGTGTGATTCTATAGCCATAGCTGGACTTGAAAGAAAGAAAAGTATGCCAATTAGCCTTGCTTTGCAATGTTAAATGAGCCTTCTGGAATTAATTTCATAGTCTTGGTGGACTAGTAAACCTTGCTGTTATTTGTTTTTTACATACGTTAATTAAGTGCCTTTGAGAAAAGATTGATTTTGGCTACAAAAAGACATACACACATGTGCAAATTGCATCAGCCCTATTTAAAAAGCAAAACTACATCAGAAAAGGGCAGAATGATACCAGAGAATGAGAAGATAAGAGTGGAAGATAGCAAGCAAACTCAGTAATTTTATAAACTAAAAATGAAAGATCAATCTACATAGTAAGGTTTGTTTTGGGCTTTGTTTTGTTTTGGTTTGGTTTTTTATGTGAAAGTAGTACTTGTAGAGGACTGTTTAAAAAAAAATAAAGAACGGGGTTTCTCACAGAGAATTTTGAACCCTCCAGAGAATCATTACTGTGGAATCAGCCATTTACAAAATTCATCACCTCCTGCTATCTTTTGAAGTTTCTAAGATATTAATCTGTGCAAAACTCTCCTGATTTAACATTCAGCTCAGACTGTTTTACATGTTTTTGTGAAGAAAGCTGACACCTCTCTGTTCTTTCACTGAGTGCAAGATTTGCATTCTCAAATAATTATTTATCATTAAAACAGAAGTTTTAAGATGCTGCCTTTTGAGGCTGATAAGTTTTGACATTTTTTAAGGCATTAAGCACAATAGAACTAAATGTCCCACTTAAAATGTACTGAAGCTATGCTTCTAACTAATATTTTTGAAAGTCCAACTCTCTAGTCTACAACTACCAATAGAGAAAAAACCTCACATTTTGAAATAGTCAAAGCTGGGCACATCAGTGATTTTTAAAGTTATGAGTTCTTATTATCAGTTCTTCACATAAGGGTTTTTACTGCCAGAAATTTTTGACATCATACAATGCCATTGGTACCATATTTTGTTAGGAAGTATAATGGGAGTTAATACCAGATGAGTAGATCAGATAGGGACAAACAAGATTAGCAAGGAATTAGGAAGGACTTAACTCTGCTGACCTTGATAAGATTCACTATGGTAGGAACCCTAGTTTCACTGATCTGTATTCTGCTGAAGAAACAAAGATACTTCTTTCAGTTTCAGAAGTGGGAGTGGAAGGGGTAATGCCTGTTGCAGTCTTATTAAGATCTGTGATATTTTTTCTGTCATAAATTAATAACAGGACATAATTCCATGTAATTCTTTGAAAATTTTGGTTTAAGGAGGAATATTTGAAAACGTGACTGAAGCTTAAACTAACATAGGTCTGAATTAATAAAATTCCAGATTTCGGAACAGTTCATGCTTTTCATGTACTTTTCTCATGGTTTCAGAGGTGCCTAATCTGGCTAATTTAG